CTCTCTCTCTCTCTCTCTCTCTCTCTCTCTCTCTCTCTCTCTCTCTCTCTCTCTTTCTCCCCCCTCTCTCCACTCTTTTTCTTATATGTGCTTCGCATGTTGCGAACGGTCCCGGAACAGGGGCGCTTCTTTTCCTTTGCTTCTCTCTTCCGTTCTTTCGTCTGCTCGTGTCACTTTCTCACTCAATACGGAAAGAGCGGAGAGATCAAAGGAGGCCGTCGCTGTTAATGATATGCGACCCGCTGCTGCCGGGCAACTTAGAAACTCGAGAACGCAAGATTCGGGACTTCCTCGGAACGAACCACCGCGGAAAGTTTCTTTAACAATTCCTTCTCAAAGTACGAGTCGAAGTGATATAAATGAAGATGGAAAATGACGGTTTATATTATAAGTGCAACGGGTGCATTGCGATCCTTAATTCTTTTATTAATATTTTAAAAGCGGACTCATTGATAAACTTTATATTCTTTTTTCAACTATATAATTTATCGTTCTCGAACATTCTCAAGGACAAATACGCCTTTTTTCTTACAATAGATATTTAAAGAGGTACAAAAAAGCTCATTTTACATGAAATATATAAAGTACATAAATACATATATATAAGTATCAGATCAAACAAAGAAACGAGCATAAACAAAGATATTAAATTATAATAATTTATTCATAAAAAATTTGTCAATATTTTATTGATAAATTACTTCGATTTAATATCTATGTTTGCTCATTTCTTTAATCATTGATCTTATATTTATTTATTATTTTTCATCACAATTTCGCTAAAACAATTACGTAAAAGTAATTTATAAAAATCTGTCGATTTTTAATGAATTATATTTACATTAATTTAATACCTTGTTTGTACTCGTTTCTTCGGTTATCAATCTTATTTTTTGTTTTTTTTCTCACGATTCCGCCTACATTTTCAATTTCAAACGGGAGATGACAGGCGTAAGACCTTTGCGGTGGCGATACAAGTTCTCGCGTACCCTTCAGTTGATATAATTTGGCATTACAGTCTCCTGCGTTGTGCACCCTCGTTGCCGAAGGGTACGGCAGAGTCCACCGTTTCAATCGCTTAGGTTCGTGCGAATTACCGCCTACGGGCCTTTACGGCACATCAAAGGGAGAGGGGATTGTGAAGGCGCGCCCTATTCGTTTGTGCGGCCGTCTTAACGTATTCGAATCCCAAGGTATCTCTTTTTTCCGTCTTCTCCATAACTCCCTCTCTTTCGCTTTCGCTCTTGTTCGCGCCACCTTCACCCTCCGCACCGTGGAAAAGCAGCTCGTTGCTCCTCAAGCAGGCATATGGAAGGTGTTTGACGTGCTAGCAATTCGAGGAGAGAATGCGGGGCGATTGATCCCTAAAAGCCCTGAGGATAAACTCGCGCGTTTTTTTTCGCTCAGGAAGAAATATCTCTGGAGAGGGGCTGCGTGTGCGCACGAATAAAGCGTTTACTCAACCGGAGGTGCGCTATATTGACGTAAAATTTTTCTTTCAATCCTCCTCATGCCAATTATTTACTCACCTTCCAGCAACATCTTAATTTACTGGAGAATTAGTATTAAATATATGCATTATCAGTGTAGATGGATGCAAAGTAAAAATATATACCAATATAATAAATAAAACAAAATATAATCTATAATCTTAAAAGGTTCGTTTTCTAGCTTAACTAGTTAATGTTTTTGAAATTTAAAGTGAGATACATTCTAAAAATTAACAGTATAAACTTAATACTTTGTGGTGTGTCTACATAATTTTCACTGTGTTGGTTTACAACAAGTAAATTATCGTCAACATGATGTGTACTTAACATCATGAGTACAAGCATTAAATCTGCACCATGAAAATGTTAATATAAACATCAGAGGTTTTAAATTCATAAAAATGTTGATGTTAATTTAACACTAACATGGTAAGAATTATATAGACATTACATGGGTGTTAAATTTATACACCAACATTTTTTAGGGTTGATATATGTGTGACTTTTTGTGAAAGCAAAAAGAAAATTCTAGTACAGTCTAATGCAGGAATAAAAAATTGATCTAGTCTCTTAAATAAAACAATCTTAATAATAATAAACTCTAACAGAGAAAAGTGCTGAAAGTACTTTTGATATATTTTCCTACACAACAATAGCTTGATTCGACTACGCACTCAATTAATTATGTGAATCCCTTCACTTCTTGTTTCAGGTGGCGATTAAGATAATAGACGTCGAGCAAGGCAAGAAGGACTACGTGATGAAGAACCTGACGAGGGAGGCGAAGGTCTTGTCAATGCTGCAGCATCCGAGCATCGTGAGACTCTACGAAACTATCCGGGTGAGTGAGAAACGCTTTAGAATTGTAATCAGTTTAGAAAATTTCGACGATTGATCGAATTTCTTTACTTTAATTAACCGCGTCGAAAGTTTAATCGAGTTCTTAATGACAAAGACGATTCACCACGGTTGATCAACAAGATTTAATCGTGTCCATTGTGCTGTTATATAACGATCTATTATCCATCAAAAGGAAACTATGCTATTCCATCTCGTGTCATCCCTCTCTTAGTGACAGGTACTATCCCTCGAAGATCCTACGCTATTTTACTCTCGGTCACGCCATTCTCACCCGGTACATGACGTTTGTCAGAACGCCATGACAAATCGCGAACGTCTTGAAATTTCGGCGATGTCAGGGACCGAAATTTAACGTCATCCGACAGAGAGAGAGAAAGAATGATTCATCTTTCTAGATTTAATTAAACACACCATTTAGCTGAATTTATGAAGCAGGCTGAATGCGTATCAAAGTAGAAAAGCTTTTCACCCTTTAATCATTTTGCTTCATACGAAACTTGGGGTTCGAAAAATGTTTTCTTTTATGACCTCGATTTTGAAGTCTATCAGTTTTGCATGAATAAAGGAAAACCATATTCAGTCAAGGCGGGTCTTGATGTTTAATAATAGTTTTTATGAGAATTTTAACATTTGTAAACCTTGACTGAATATAGCCTTCTTCCCATATTTATACTAAACTAATAGACTTCGAAATTGAGGTCGTAACATTTTTTATGAGAAGTTTACAAAACTGTAAAATTTTATCTTGGTGTCTAATAATATTTTTGTTGGGAATTTTACAATTTTTTAAATTCTCGTGAAAGATATATCAAGCATTTGGGACATGTTTTGAGAATTTTATAAATTCACATAAAAAATATTATCGAACTCCAAGATCTGCTTTTACCGAATATGGTCTTTTTCGTTTATTTGTGTTTAAAATTACTCGACCGATTTCACAGAATATTGTCCATCAGTTTTATCAGTAATGTAGACAAATGGAAATCAACTGTAGATATAGTTTGATAGATTTCGAATCTTATACTGTATGTAGACGCATTACAACCCAAGTTTGTTCCTCACGAAATAAATGCTTATCTTCGTCTACAACGTCAGAAATTGATTTCGCCAAAATTAAATTGGTTTCAATTCGCGAGTGTAAACTTGGAAATTATTATTTTGAGTTACGATCCTTTCTGCGCCGATACAGAGGAAGCCCAGGACCGGTACCATTAATGCGTTGCATCGTACGTGACCTGGCTGCTACGGACGCGAACGTTGACCCAACACGCGGACTCGCGGGGCGCACGTGCACGCGCATACGTACGTACGCACGCACGCACGCACGCACGCACGCCACGGAGGTATACGGGCGGGAACACGGGCGAGAGGAAAAAAAAAGCTCGGGGAGAGGACTCTCGTATGCTTGTACGACGTAATTGAATTCATGTGTGGGACGTCGATATCAGAGGCTCTCCCGGCGGCGCAGCATCGCGCACCTCGTTTACTCTGAAAATTTTGTTAGTCCGCGCGCTCGCTCGTCACGATCGAGTTACGAGGACGAGGGTGTGTACGCGCTAGGAAAGATAAAGTACGTAGGAAAATATGACGGGAACGCACACGCCGCCGCGATAGCCCTTTCCCGTCTCTCCTCCGCGCGCGAGATTCGAGAATTTTGAAGCTCTGCGAAATATTCCCGCGCGAAATGAACGGGTGGCTGGGGTGGTCTGCCGATGTCCGACCAGAGAGACGTGTAAAATTTTTCAAGCTGGATACGTCGCCGGAATCATTCTCTGCATGTGGTAGCCGATGCACGTCGCGTTTTCCTTTCAACGTGTGACGCGACTAGAAAATTGTAATTTATGAGTTATACCGAGTTCATTTGTAAAATCTATGTTCTTAGTTCTTATCTACAAAATTCTTTTAAAACTGAATTCAATCAATCTAAACAAATCGTTCTACGAAATTGTAGCGAGCCAATTTATTCCAATTACCATAGAGCGCCCTTATTCATGTCTATTTGAAAGCGTCCTCCGGGAATAGATAGTTTTGAGTTGCATTTCCCGATACGAGGAAACATTCGAATACTTCAAGAAGCGTAGAGTGCAAATATATCTGTTAGAAAAACAATCGTTCCCACGAGCTTTCATAAATGGACAAACGAGTTTTGCGATTGCACCTTTCGATTCTTCTCTCTCGACGGAAATGATTTTATAGTCTGCAGATGGTATTACTTTCCACGTGCGTTTATAAAACGCTCGGAGAGAAGAGTGCGTCCTGTTTTATTTAAGCTATCCTGTCGAAGGGGAAGAGCTATCGGCGATGAGAATGCTCGCACCTGACGGCAAATATGATAATATCGAGACGAGATCCCGCCTCGTCTTTCTTGCCGTCGCTAAATTGGCTATATATGACGTCGCCTTATATCTCATTTCCACGTTGTAATCTTTACGATGGTAGAGGCTCGCCTAGGGTATCAGCATCTACGCGTGATTTCTACTACCGATTCCGCTAGATTCTTTGGAGCATCTGCGCCTGCATGCAGATCGTAAAGTATAGTCGTTTTCCAGGCGAGTCGCTTTTCTTAGGCTCGCCTGTCGATGACATGACTTCGACCGTTTTTAAACGATGAACGACGATAGTGTCAAGAGTCATTGAATATGTAAATAGCCCCACTTTTCCTTGTATTAATTACATTGTTCAACAAAAAGTCACTTATTCTCTCTGAAGTGCCGTAGCACATACCTCACAGATTTTTTTGCGCTGAACACGATGGCGTTGGTAGATATTTGTTTAGTACGCGTTAAGATTTTTAATAAATTAGGGTAGATTTTGGCTCATTTTATCTCAATCTTTTTTTCAATCTTTTAATCTGCTACGCAAATTTTGATAATGGCATCATGTTCAGTGCGAAATAATCTTTGGTAGATATGGCATTTTAAAGGTGAAAAGATTTTTTTTTGTTAAACTGTGTAGTTATGCAAAAAGTTTAAAATTGCAGCAACCATAATTTGATGAGAATAAGTCATACAATCATGAATTAAAATTTACTTAAAAGCTCTTGGATTGTAATTTTATAGATTCTGGGAACTACTTACAATTAGAAACAAATTTTGTTCTATTGTTAAAAAAATTTTGAAAATGGTCAAAAATCTTTTCTTTTTTTGCACTTTTCGTTTCATGTTAGTCAAAATCCTGACGTGCTAAGCAAATTCTCGTATTCAGCACGCAAAAATCTTTGGAACATACTATGATACTACAGAATATGGATGTTGAATAATATTTTTGATAGAATATTTTGACATCGCGTACCGTGCGTTTCTTATGAATAATTTATACAATTTAACAAAATATATAGGTTATGATTAATTATAATTAATATAATATAAAAATGTGTGAACACTATTTATGTGATTAACGCTATTAAAATTATTTTATGTACCAATAAATGTTCAAGAAGGATATAAATAAATATATATATATATATATATATAAAATGAAATGTAAGAAATATACATATTTTCAAATTTATGATATAAGCAAAGTGCGTGATAAAAAAAATGTCAGTTTACCATAAATTTACGATAGAACATAACGTAGCAGCGCAACAAAATTTCATACTCCACGAGGACAATGTATTGGCGACCATTTTTTGTGTCGTAAAGTTGCGGTTATTGCAGTGCCAGTGTAAAAGCGTACCTTGCAGTACAACATTTTAGGCAAAACCATGGCGTTTACAGTTTATCGATATTTTCCTGCCTGGTCACTACTAGATAGTTTATTTTATTATCCGTCATATATGTATATACACCAATTTCAGATTTCCATCCGTAAAACTTTTTAGAGAAACAGAGCTTATTTATTTATTTAATTTACTATTTAATTGCATGTCCTATCATGATATTACTAACATTTGAAATTTTCTTAAAAATTAAGACTTAAATTTCATTTATATATCTTACTTCTATTTCAAAGAAAATCATTTTATCTAAATTTAACTCAATTAAAATTGGGCATATCCCAAAATTACAATATTACTAATTATAACAATCAAGATAAAAAAATGTATTTGAATTATTTATTCGTACATATTAGTAACTTATCTACTTTCTACAAAATTTTCGCTATTTACACCATATTGTAATAACTTAAAGTATAGGATATACCGTTCTGAATCATTCTGTGCGTAATAAGAAAGCGTGCACACGTGACTGTCGATTTTACGAAGATGCATGTTCAGCGGTCAACGCAGTACTCATGCTCAGGATATTGGAAGAAAGCCGCTTTAAGCACCAATTAAGGTCATTATTGTCGGCCGACAGCGGCCGTAAACGTGCCGCTCGCGCGATTTTATGTCGGTACCAATGTTACGAGTCAACGAATCGGCGTAGGACTTGCCCGTTACTGATGTTCAACAGCGTCCCCTTGTTCGGGAGACGAAATCACTATAAAAATATACGCGTCGGCAACCGCATTTGCAGTTGGTTATACGAGTTGAAATTGCCTTGTTGTAAGTCTATGATGTCATCTTAGATAATACCGCAGGAATAATTCCAGTAAACTTATTTTCGTCTTGTCATAAAGCAGACCGTCCGAATACAAGATCAGGAAATCGATTATGGAAATATATTACGATGTGAACAAATATTTTAAATTTTAATGAACATTTATTTGAATTGTGCCTATTCAACATTTTCTTACAGTAAATAAATATTTATACTCAATAAAAAGAAATGATTAAATCGAATTAATGATTCTTGCACCAAATAAATATATTCATTCCAAATTATTTATTAAAATTTAGTAGATTTTTTCAGTGTAAGAATACAATTTATTATATAGAAAAGTTGAAGTTGCAAAATTTGCAATGACGATCCGCGTTTACTTTGTAGGCAACTTTCGGAGAAAGACGACGATTCAAGTGACCGATGGAAATGATCCAGAGATTCTGCCAGATCGTAGAATCGAGGGATACGCGAACGTTAAATTCACGCTAAAGAAAAGTCCGCTTTAAATTCTACTCGGGAATAGGATCTTATAACTGATGCACAGCTTTTTGGCACGAGTTGCGAAAACGATGCTCCATGCGCTTCTTGTTTTGCAAATGACTTCCACGTTCAACTCCTTTTCCATCTCGGCCTTTCCGTCGTGCTATGCCTACCCCTTATTTACATACACCGAATTTACGTTCCTGTTTTAACTCGTACCCGGTGATATATCGAAATCGGGTGTCTCATGTTCCACCCTGACTCCGGTTGATTTGGTTGGCAAGGTCTGTATGTACAAGTCCTCATCAAAATGAAACGGTAATTCTAGCCAAGCGAGATAGAGTGGCGTGTTTCTCTGATGAATTAACTTCGCAAGTGGTCTCCAAACTCCCAGAAATTCTCGTTTCGTTTCTATCGGTTAAGTTTCCCTTCGATCATCTTCAGCATGACGAATAGAATAATGCGGAGTAAAACTTAAATTAAGTGAAGTAATATTTTTAAAAAATTTATTTTGCAGTAATCAACTTTTCTAATAAAGTCTTTATTTGACATATTACGATTATTAACAATTTAAGAAATATTTATCAAGGAATTTTTATCAAACCTTTTTATCATGAATTTATTGTTTATAGTGAATTTTCTAAAACTTGTAAACTAACATTTCAAAAATTTTACAATAAATATAATAATTATTATCTATATATATATTTAAAACCTATATTTTAATAATTACTACATTTAAAATGTTATTACTGCTTAAACGAGTAGTGAAGTCCTTAGAATAACTATATCGTAGTAGTCAGCGAAAAAGAGAGAAAGCAAATTGAAAATCTCGTCCCGTCCGATCTCGTGCTTAACATGTGATCGTTAATACGCACGTGTGAAATTTATTCGGTTTTTCGTGAACTACGCGATTCATAATTAAAGCGTCAGGCTATACCGAATACACCGATACGACCAGTTCTAAAGAATTAAATAATCATCGGCATTCGGGGAACATCGACTCGCCATTGGCCAGGCGCGACGAATCGCTCCGATCGTAACTCGTCGACCACGCGTGAACGCGTCGCTCCCCTGACGTCGCCGCATGCATATTGTTGCATTAAGGTAATCGCTTAATCGACGAAGCCCACGCACGTGTTTCGCGATCGCGCGCGAAATTCGGGAAACGCTTTCTCGATAATTACGATGCGCCTCCGCCTCGCGGTGCATTTTAAATGCACGTGATTAATTTCGCGTGACCAGTCTCGCAGATTCTCCCCAACTCGATGCTTGTTGCTCCGTTTTCTCGATGCGCCTCCGCCTCGCGGTGCATTTTAAATGCACGTGATTAATTTCGCGTGACCAGTCTCGTAGATTCTCCCCAACTCGATGCTTGTTGCTCCGTTTTCAGCAGCGACTAAAATGTATGGCCCGGTGCTTCGACACTGGGCCGCGCGAAACGAAAAAAAAAACGAGAAAAGATTATACGCGGTGTATCAACGTTATTTAATAGAAGCGCATCATCGTGAATTATCCTTCATAAACTGCTTCTTTTTTGTTATGTGCAATTTACTCTTGAATTATAATATAATTAAGTCAGTCGTTTCAGAAACCCTATAAATTTAATTTTTAGAGAAAAAAAAGTCTAACTTTTAGAAAATTTAAAAACAGTCTAGTTTTTCAATTGTAAAATAATTAAAGATTTGTAAGAAAAAATGCTTTACTATCTCATATATTAAGTAAGAAGAATATATTATTTTGATCGTATTTTTACAGAATATTATGTAAGGAAAATATAAATCACTATATAAGTCACTGTTTCTCATGTAAACGACAGTTTTGTAGATTTGATATCTGCGAAAGAAAGACTTGATTAATGTAGTTTTTCAAGCAAACTGTGTATTTACTTCCCCCAATTCTAAATTCTCTAATATCTCCTCAATTTTGACAAAAATTAACTTCTAAAATGACCGATTTAGTTGTTGTTTATACATATTTCGTGAATTTTTATTAAATGCTAAAAATAATTAAATATAACTAAAATTCACAGCCTACAAATTAGTCATACTGTTATTCTAAAATTTTGATATTTTGTAATTTGAATGAATTCAGATTTCTTGAAGATATATCTAGCATAAGACATATCTTTTGTATCAAAGTTAATTAGCAGTATTGAAATTCAATAAATACATCGGGATTGCATAGATATTTTAGAATCTGGTATCAAAGACGGTACCGCGAGAATCTAAGAACTTAAAAGCCCAAACACGTCGTAGAATCTCCATGTTGTTGTACCTCCAAGACCCCTACGTCGCGTTATCGACGTAAATCGATAACGGTTTAATTTAACGACTGCTTGCAGTACGGATCTGTGTACTATCTCGTGACGGAACTCGCGACCGGCGGCGACCTGTGCACACACATTAAGGAGCAGCCGGCCGGTAAACTGGACGAGAACACGGCGAGGCTCTATGCCAGACAGCTGGTCGCCGCGCTCAAGCACATGCACTCGAAAGGAGTCGTTCACCGGTGAGTCATTCATGCTTTAGTCGCGTTGCGCGCGAATTTTCAGGCGGTCTTTCTCTGACAACTCGCGAATGGTCCATATGCGAAACTTTACAAACTTCTCCATATTAGTATATATACACAAATAATTAATGAAGATCACATTTTTTATCACAAAAGAAAATTTGATATAAAATCATACGAGGATATAGAAGTATTAATTCGAAAATTACAAGATATTTAATGTTGAATATTAGCAAAAGATAGGAGATGATATGATCAAATTTATGCCAAGAACCCCATGCTGATCTGATCAGAAAAATTGAATGAAAGGAAATGAAGATACTTTATAAAAGGACTTGCAGTTAACATATGATGTTCGTCGACGGTCGTGTTTCTACGAACGGTATAAATTGCATTTGAGATGCAACAATCTTACGAGGATCTGCCGAGCGCGATCATTTACCCGCGTCGTTTTCTTCTCCACGGTCTAATAATATTCAACCGCACGACGTGTCGTGCCTTTTTTTCCAGTTGGCCGCGGTGATGTACGGCGTTGGCCGGCCGTATCGTTTAAATAAAGAAATCGTCCGGCGTATTACACACGAGGGAACATTTGCGATCGCGACCCTGGAGAGCCCACTCTCTCGTCCGGCCCGTTTCGTGCGATCGCACCATGTCGATAACGACGCGTGTTCCTGTTTATTACGAGCGGAATTACACTCGCGAGGATCCTTGCCCGCGCGCTTCCTCGACCGGGAATGCTCCCTCGTCGGCCCGGTTAACGATTAAAAGCAGCTTCCTGAATTAATTGAACCGGCAACGGGTAGGTTCTCCGTGTGTTGCGCGTGCACTAATTTCGTTAGTGTTTAAATTTATCGCAGCGCGAATGATACCTACCTTATATCTTATATCCAAGGATTATCTCAAAAGCACTTATAGAAATAATTATTTCAAAACTCTGTCGACACTTTATATTAATATAAAAAAAAGTTAACGCTGTGAATGAAATTTGGAACACACGATATTATTTATCGCTCCTATTTTTTACCGCTTATTATATTTTCATATCATAATCTCTGTGTTGGAGCGTATTGCTAGCTCACGTACAAACGAGACTGCTAAATCGAAATCGCAATCATTTTTTACGACGAATCCCTTCACCCTTCACATTAGCATATAGGGTGTCTCGATAACTTGATATTTCTCTTTAATCGTAATATTGAAAACTCAATACAAAGATTGTCATTTGAATCTTGCAGTTAGTCTTGGGCCGGTATTCATATCGTCAATTTTTACATGCATTTAAGACTATCCTAAGGACAGTCTTAATACACATGATTAGGGTATTTGTGTATCCTGGAGCATTTTTTTAAATACTAATTATAAGAGTATCATGTAATCAAGACCAGAAATCAACCGCCCGTATGTACCAATTCCGGTATTTAAATATTTATATACAATTTTTAATACATAAATTTCAAATATTTTTTGAAGATATTAAAATATATGTGAAAATCACTCTACAATTTTTATATAATTGTAAAAGTAATGAAAATTAATCCTGATAGCATACCTTTTTTTAGCAGTTGCTCAACAATATATTAACTCTGTTTAGTTATCTAAAAAGTACAATAAAACTACTTAGGATCTCAATCAAGATATAATTATTGTCTGCGATTACTGCGTACAAAAGATGCATAAAATCTGAACCCATTTACTAAACAAAATTATGACATATAGATGCAGCATTTGGTAAATGTTTCGCTTTACACAGTCAGCCTCAACATCCGAGTGACCTTCATCTTGACCTTGACCCTCAAGAAGGTCAAGATCATTGACCATTCCCGTCGCTCGTTATTCGTTGGAAAGAATTATTAACCGAAAAGATTTAAAAAATAACATACTATTTCTACGTGTATTCTGCGTACTATTTACTTCGACTTTCTACGCGATTTATTAATACTAAACAATAACTGAACAGGTGTCTAGTAAGTTGCACATATTTTAATTAGGAAAACTGCTTCAGCTATTGAATAAAATTTTTATTAAGTTCTTATATCTATTTTCTACGCAATATTGCAACTAATAAGAACACAGTAATACTATATATACAGACAGTAACTGAATGGATATCTAAGAAAATTGCATACATTTTCCAGGGAACAATCAAAATATTAAGCTAATTGTAGATTCGTATTATCATTCCAGCGAACAAGCTAATGTTATTTATCATCATTTTTATAAAAATGATATCTTTAACATCAAAGTGATGGCTAACTAACTAGCATCAGTTTATTTGTTATGATGTGTTAAGATATTATTTAATTAAAAAATGGTTTTAAAAGAACGGTCTTGGAATTAATTCTAAGCAATCGTATCTGCAAAAACTGTGAATATCTGAAAAAATATTCACTGAATATTCCATACACCCTGTATATCTCGCGTGCATTAGCGTTTCCGGCGTAGGAAGATCGCAATATTTCGGCGAGAGTTGTGATGTCGTATGCATCACCCGGGAAAGGGGAACCGATGACTTTCAACATTTTCGCGAGGAAGGCGTCGCACCGTTTCCCCAGCGAAAGAGAAGGCGTAATGACGCACGCACGTGACGCGTTACGACGTGGACCAGTAGTTCGCTTTCGTTGCTCACGAAGGTTCGGCGAATATAAAGCAGCTGGCAATATGGCGTACGACACGGCAGTTTGTTTTCGTCGAAAGCGCAAAGTCTCAATCTCGGATGATGGTGATAGATCGTCGCTCTCACGGACTCGCACGTTGCGGATAAGGGGGGCAGCGAGGGGAGACGGAAAGGGTGTTGGACTGTGAGGGATTTTGCAAGGAGGGTTAGGAAAATCGCTATAAGCGATCGCTTAACCCCTCGAGAGATTAGCCCGTTTCTCGTTCGCGGAGGGAAAGGGGGGGGAGGAGAGAGACGCAACGCTTCCTACTAATGGAAATGGAGAAGATTTGATGCTAAGGATAGTTAACGATCACTGCCCGCGGATTCGTTCTTTCTTGCCGCGCTATATATTCTTAGATTAAGACAAACGAAGTCAGCAGTTGCTTCGACTTGCTTCTGATAAAGAACGTTCCAGCTCTTTTCCCGGCGCGCCCTACATTATTTTTGTGCGATAGTTGTTTACCTTCCTAGAATTATCCTTCTTAATAAGTTACGCGATACATTTGTGACTAATGAAAGTCGATATTCTTGATTGAAGTTCCCTACAATCATTTAATCGAATTCTAAACAATTCATCACAGATCCCAGTATATGTTGCGCTACAAGATTAAAGATGTTTACATAGAATACCTTCTATTTTCGTAAGAAAAATAACAAGGGAAATTGATAAATAACAACGAAGCACTCTATATAACGAGATCTTTAGACGTTTAATGTTATTGTACAATTATTTCGAACGATTTCAAAGAAACCTCTTTTAAACAATTCAAAACAAACAGTCTGACAGCTCAACGTAGCCTCCAGATGATCGATAATATTGTGCCGTATCAAATATTATGTAATAATATTGATCGTTTAAGGATCGCTTTACGGCAGCGTTAATCTTTAACTAAAGATTTAAATTGTTTGATCTGTATTTTCTTTTCATCTGATATTGTCATATATCATCACATGTGTATACAACTCTAAGAGATTCTCTACGGATTTTCTCGGCAAGGAATAGTTGTAAATAGTGAAGGGGAGAAAGGGAAGAGGAATTCTTTGTACAGCAGCCCTCTTCGCTCGGGACCACCGAACATCCGCAGGCTCACGTTTTAATTCCGACGAACGCCTCCCGTTTGCTCTGCCATTATTCGCCGGACAAAGCCATGATCCTCGAGCCGTGAGGGCACGGACTTCTTGCGGAATCCTCACGAGCGGGAGCAGGATTATGATTCCCATACTATATGCGCTCTTCTGCCGGAAAGAGAGAGAGAGAGAGAGAGAGAGAAAGAGAAACCGTCCCCCGATATATCCAACGAAAGCCGCCTTACGTGTTTATCGATGCTTTTACTTACGCGGGAAACTAGTAGTAAGAGTAAACGGTAAAGCTGTAAATCGAGTGTCATCGTTGTGTTGCATGCCGATAGTATCCAACGAAACCGGTAGCAATTATTCTACGAGTTTGTCTAAACACCTATCTCAATTAATTGTAAGTTATTATCTTCTACAGCTAGCGGAACGATTATTTTTCTTTTTATAGAAAAAAGATCACGATTGCTATGATCTTTCTAAGGCGATTTGTTTTTAATCTTTAAGCAACATGTATTCTGTGCAGCCACTTAATAACAGACTGTAACGAAATAACTCAATCCAATAATATATTTTCCAATATTTCCACAAAAGAGTATCTTGCGAAAACGAAGTGGAGAATGGATATTTGCCTATTTCTTCGCGTACGAACGTGAGATGAGATATGGAAAGATTCTAACGCGAACTTATTTACGAGAAGTTTATTCACCGTTCTTGGAACCGTTGTTGAAGAACGGAGCTTACAGTAATACAGTGTGCTACCGTACGGTGTCAGGTCGAAGTTCGCCGGTGCAAAAAAAATCGGGCGTGTAGGCGGTGCATATTCAACAGAAGCGAATACCGTTATAATCTAGGATGAATTCGTAGCGAGCCGCTCTCTCCCTCTTTTTCTTCCTCTTTCTATCTATTTCTCCGCTCGCCTCGCGCGCGGATCACGTGCAAGCGGGAGAGGAAAAGGCGGAAAAGTATCTCGGAAAGTATCAACAACCGGCAGTAGAGACGTTAATGGACACGAGTACTCGGTTATCCGCTTAAGTATAGTACTTATGGTGCCTGTATATCTTTCGGTCCGTTATAGGCGTAGTTTTGCCAGTCCGGAGCTTCCGCCGGCTAGCTAATCGAGTCTATAGCTAGCTAATTGGCTTCGTTCGCTGCAGGTGACCTTGATCTCTCGCGGCTCGTTTTATTTCGTCATTTCTATTCCACCAGCGTGCCATCTCGTCGTCGCCCGGATATGTCGCGTCAATTCTCGTCTCACCCGCACGAGAAG